ATCCCAGGACCCTGGGATCATGACCTGAGCCGAAGGCAGACACTTAACAACTGAGCCACCCAGGCACCCCTGTTTTGTTTTGCTTTAAAGATTTTTTATTTTTAAGTAATATCTACACCCAACATGGGGCTCAAACTCACAACCCCGAGATCGAGAGTAACCTGTTCCACCGACTGAGCCAGCCAGGCATCCCAAAACTTTTTAATTGTGATAAAATATATATAACGTGAATTTTGCCATCTTAACTATTTTGAAAGTGTACAACTCAGTGGCATTAAATTCACAATGTTGTACAGCCAAAACCACTATTTCCAAAACTTTTTCATCACCCCAACCAGAAACTCTATATCCATTAGGCAATAACTCTCCAGTCGCCTGACTTTACCTCCCTAGGCCCTGGAAATCTGTAATCTACTTTTCTATGAATTTGCCTATTCTGGATTTTCATGTAAGTGAAATCATACTATATTTGTCCTTTTGTGTTGGGCTTGTTTCACTTAGGATCATGTTTTCAAGGTTCATCTATATTGTAGTGTGTGTCAGAACTTGATTCTTTTTTATGGTTGAATAATATTCCTTTGTGTGTTTGTGCCACATTTTGTTTATCTACTCATCAGTTGATGGACACCTGGATTGTTTTCACCTCCTCACTATTGTGAATAATGCTGCTATGAACATTGGTGTATGGTATCTGTTTTAGTTCCTGTTTTCAAATCTTTTGGGAGTACCTAAGAATAGAGTTTCTGGGTCATATGGTAATTCTGTGTTTAAATAATATATCCCCACTGAGAAAACATAAAATACAAAAATATAAAGAAGGAAACAAAATCACTTTTTTTAACATTTTTTTATTGTTATAAAATATATATAACATCAAATGTATCATTCTAACCATTTTTAAGTGTGCATTTCTCTGGCAATTAGTACATTCACATTATTATGCAAAAATAATGTCCACTGTCCATCTCCAGAACTTTTTTATCTTCTTCAACTGAAACTCTTTACCCATTAAACACTAACTCCCCATCCTTCCCTCCCCCCCAGCTCCTGGCAACCACCATTACAAATTTCTGTCTCTATGAATTTGACTACTCTGTTTACCTCATATAATTGGAATCATACAGTATTTGTCCTTTTTGTGACTTACAGCGTTTTCAGGGTTCATCCAAGTTGGAGCATGTGTCAGAATTTCCGTCTTTTTTGAGGCTGAACAATATTCTGTTGTATGAATACACCACGTTTTGTTTATCCATTCGTGAGTTGATAGATATTAAGTTGCTTCTGTCTTTTGGCTGTTGTGAAAATGGATGTACAAATCAAAATCACTTTTAATCCTACAACCCAGAGAAATTAGCAATTATCATTTTGGTATATACTTTCTTCGTGTGTTTGATGTGTAATAAATACACACATTCATAGACATATAATTCTAATAGAGATCATACTCGAAATAGTTTTTATCCTATTTTTTGTTTTGTTTTGTTCTTTGGGGTTTTCCCCCTTAATAAATTGTTGAGAGCATCTGTTCTTTTTTTTTTTTTTTAATATTTTTATTTATTTATTTGAGAGAAAGAATGAGAGAGAGAGAGCATGAGAGGGGGGAGGGTCAGAGGAAGAAGCAGACTCCCTGCCGAGCAGGGAGCCCAATGTGGAACTCGATCCCGGGACTCCAGGATCATGACCTGAGCCGAAGGCAGTCGCTTAACCAACTGAGCCACCCAGGCGTCCCGAGAGCATCTATTCTTACCACTGAAAGTATTTTCAAAAATGCCATTTTAAAATCATTATGTAACAGTTCATCACATGAATATTCCATGATTTACTTAGATTACTTTCTCAGTGTTTCCATTGTAGAATTTTTCATATTTGTGTGTGTGTGTTTGTGTGTGTGTGTGTTTTAACTGGGAGGCTGATTAAATAGCACATAAGGTTAAAATATTTGAAAAAATATTTGACTATCCATACTATGCTGTTTTAAGACTCAACACAATTTACAGTACTTGTATATTATCCTAAATGTCATATTGTTCCTCAGTTTGAGTGATTTTTCTCAACATGCTGTGTTATCCCTTTCTTTTCACTATTCATTTAGTCCTCATATACTTTGATGTACTTTGGTGGTTTGAGGGGAATATCTTTTTGAAGTGTAGAGCAGTACTTCTGAGCTATTAATAACTTGATTATGGGCAAAGGCTTTATTGGAGACTACAATTTCAGTTAAAACTGAAAACAATCTCAGTTTTTTGTGAATGTTCTAAGTAATTTTGTTTGTCGTTTTTCTCTTAACTCACCTTTCTTGTCCGCTCTTTTTCAGAATGATGGCTATCAATGAGTTAGCTATATGGATTTTTTAAAGGACGGAACAGTAATGAAATATTTGAAGTACTTGTTCCTGAAAATCATGAACATTGACACAAATTCTACCTCTGTCAACTTTTATTTAGATCAGTGAATATTTATGTAAAAAATTTGGTTTAAAAGAGCCATATCTATGTGTATATTTTTATATATATGACAGAACAAAATATGTATTAATAGTGCTAATGTTCTATCTGTATTTATACTATTCCTGACTTAAATTACTCCTCAAAGTGTGTGTTTATACTGTGAATTAATATAATGTATTGTTCACATTATGCTTTAATAATCTTTTTCATAATGTGTATATAAATATTCTTACAGTACTTCTAACAAAGTGTTTTTAGTTTTCATGCCTGTGTTTATAACCTATATCTTTAATGCATTCACATAAGGATTATCAACTTTGATGCTATGCTCTCTCACTTAACTTTTTTCTTCTAAATGTAAAATTATTCACCAGTATGTTGTCTGTCATCAAGGGTAATATATTCAGGTCTATTCTTAAAATAGTAGAGGTCTTGATAAAATAATGATTACCATATGTAGTTTGTTATTGCTCACTTGAAGAACTGTGATGGAAAAGATGCATTTATATATTATAAACAGTATATTATTTTGGTTATCACATGGACTTTTCATATAATACAGATTCTATCAAAATCAAACTAAAAGCTGCATTCAGAATTTTGTAAGACAGTAGAACAGAAATTTGGGACACTTTTTCAGTAAATAAAATTTCTCCCTGTATTAATTGAAAATCTCAGAGTATAAAAGTATATGGAGTAAATATAGTATTCTGTTAAAATGCCAATATACATTCAGTAATAGCAGTTTTTTGCTTCTAAACCTGTGTGTTGTGATTTATGAGTCTTGCAGAATAGTAGTAAACACTGAACTGTGGCATGTTAAATAGAAAACAACTTTTTACAATTAATTTTCAAAGTTGTAATTTTAAGGAATTTAAATATATACATACATCAATAGAAGAACAGAAGTACAAAATAGAATGTCAGATACAAAAACTAATCGTGTTTGAACCATACACATTTGAAGAAAATTCTGTTCTCTGTAGATTTCATTATGATTGAAAAAGAACTTAAGAACTAACATAGGAAAGTTGAAGAGCAGTTATTTATGATACGTTTTGTTTCCTCTTGTGCTTTACTACAGTGGAGTTTGTGTGTGTGTGTTTGTGTGTACCTGGGGGTGGGCACTGTTGTTTTTCCAAAACTAATATGCCTTATATGTTCGGGTTATGCTCTTTGCAATAATTCACTGTATATTTGGTTGTGATGTGGTTTACTTTTCTACCATCTTTGTAATTTTATGTATTCCACCTTCTTTGTGTGAATTCATATATTATGTAGCAAAATACAAGAGAAATGGGACTATTTGCAATGTCATATGGAAAAATCTTTTAATAAATATATGTAAATAAATAAAAAATGTCTGTCCCCACCTTTTCCCCCCAAGCAACAGCAAGACATACTGTGTTAATATTTTTAATGTTTTCCATAATTTAAAAATGTATAGCTTTAATTGTTATTTTCTTAACCATGTTACAATTTTTCTAAATTATTTTTATCCTGGGACGCCTGGGTGGCTCAATCGTTAAGTGTCTGCCTTCGGTTCTGGTCATGATCCCAGCGTCCTGGGATCAAGCCCCGCATTGGGCTTCCTGCTCCGCGGGAAGCCTGCTTCTCCCTCTCCCACTCCCCCCGCTTGTGTTCCCTCTCTTGCTGTGTCTCTCTCTGTCAAATAAATAAATAAAATCTTTAAAAAAAAAAATAAAAAATAAATTAGTTTTATCCTAAAATACCGAATGTTCTGACCTTTTATAGATGTTTTTGTTTCAAGTAATTTTAAATTATGCTTGATATAGATTTTCCAATAAACTTTCCAGTCAATTTATTTTCTCTTTCTTACAAATAGTTTTTTCTTAAATTTTAGCAATATTCTTAATTCTAAAGTTAAGTATAATTAATTCAAATCAAACTTTATCATGATAGGATATGGGGAAATTGCTGTGCTTATGTACCAGGTACTTTTTTTTTTTACTGACTTTGATTTATTTCTAGGTAGTTCAAATATAAGAAATGAAGTCAAAGGTTGTTTGAAATCCATCTACAAAATGATTAAACAGGCTCTCCCCAGTTCTTAGAAGATTTTAGCACCTGACTTACTTTCTACCATTAGTTCTATCATCAGTCTTTTTTATGTATCTTCTTAGAACAGTGGTTATTGACCAGTCCTGCACATTAGAGTTACCTGGACAATTTTAATGAAAAACTGATTTCTGAGCCCTACACTAGTCCAAATAAGAATCTCTGGGGGTTAGGTGTGACATTTTGGTTTTGTTTGTTTGTTTAGTTTTAGGTTCTCTAGGTGATTCTAATGTGTCACCAGATTTAAAATGCTAATTTAGAAACTGATCCACCAAACTGATTTCATGACCTACTAATGGGACTCAACCTATGGTTTGAAAACACTGCTCTAGATCTTATCATTACTTCCAAAAATCTCAACTTCCAGCATGCTACTTACCCCCCTTTCTGGGTCACTCTGTCATGCCTAGCCTAACAATTCTTTGACTCTCCCAGGATCTCCAGACAATCGATTCTCTCACCTATCCTTTGTCTAGAAGTCCCTCGCTTTCCTTTTTATCTAGCATAGGCATCATTTTCTTTGCATATACCCTAAATTCTCTTATCCCTCTAAACTGAAAACTCAAATCTTGTTTCTATCCAACTATTCCAACTACGCTGCATCTGTACCTAAGCAGCTGAACGGGACTAGAGAAAAAACCAACCATGCGGACTCTTTTCACTTGAAACTTAAGGCCCTGAAAATCAAGGGCCCACAGCACTGTGTGAGGATCTGTACACATTTTCCTGGTCAATTCACAATCTCTCAACAAACATTTCACACCTTCTCCTCTCAGACCTTCAGTCCTCCCTCTTTCTTGCTCTCAGGTTGTTTCCTTTTTCACTGAGAAAATGGAAACAGTAAGGAAACTTTCTCACCCTCCCAAATCTATTAACAATAGATTTGGAGACATCCGTATCTTTATAACTTCTTATTCTAACACAAACCATCTCTTCCTCTAGCTATTTTATCTAGTTGTGATCAGCATTCATTCCTTCTACTACTCAAAAGACTCCTGCATTTAACCCCACGTTCCTGAGTCATTTTGGCTCTATTGGCTTGTTCAAACTTGAGTGCATACCTCCCATTTTTAATCTCCCATTTTAAAACCCTCCCAGACCCAACCATTCCATTTTTTGCACCCTTCAGAGCAAAAAAAATCTTTAAAAGGTGTTATCTATACTCACTTCATCCCCTCTTTATACCCACCTTTCCTTCTTAAACTATCCAATCAAGCTTTATTCCCATTACTCCAAACCATTTTTGTCAAGGTACTAAGAACCCCTATGTGTTCTTTATTTCCTTTTTCACACATAATGTCTCCAATTAGTGCTTTTTGCTATATTTTGTTCTTACTTGATACTGCTTCTATCCTCCTTTGAGGAAGGATTGGGGATAGATAGAGCTTTAAAATAAACGCATTTGAAGATAAGATTAAGGACTTCTCCAGAAGGCATCAGAAAAAGAGATTGCAAATGTAAAAGAAAAGCATTATGGAGGATGTGTGTCAGAGTGCCAACATCTAGGTAATAATGAGCCTTAGAAGAGAGAAATATTAGGAATGCAAAAACTATTTTAAGAAATAATGGAAGTAAATGTCACTAAATCAAAGGATACAGTCTGAGGTCTTTATTAAAAGGGCTCAGAAAAAGCCAAATAGGAGAGAAGGGAAAAACCCACATTTAGATACAATATTAAAGACAATGAAAGAAATTTTAAAAGCCCCAGAGAGAAACAGTTCACCTGAAAAGGAACAAGAATTGTTGGTGAAGTCTATTTTACTAATAAAAAGAGAAGGAAGGACAAAACAAGAGAAAGGAAGGGAGGGAGGGGGGAAGGAAGGGAGGGAGGGAGGGAAGGAAGGAAAATCCGTAACAATTCAGACCAAAACTGGATAATGACAACATGTTAGATGGAAGAACATGAGAAGTTGAATATTTGTGTTATTGGGAGAAGATACAAATACTAATATTTCAGAAGTCAACAGGGTGAAATAACACAGCTATGAGTCTTAAAAGCAGCTATCATATGACAGTAATCACTTACCTAGAACTTTATTCTTCCCAGGTGCTATTCTGAGAATTTTACATATGTTAACTCATTTAATTCCCACAATAATCATATTCTTTTTTATTCTCATTTTATAAACGAGAGCACAGGCAATATTTGCCTGTGGACATATAACTAGTAATGGTGAATTCACTTTTAGACAATTTGTTAAGTGATTTAACATTTAAACCAGCACAAGAAAACATGATCCCTGCAGTGGAAAGCAAGAAAACAGAAAAAAAGAAAGTATATTAGAAGATGTGAAACAAGATGGCAGAAGTAAATCTTTATATAAGAGTGGCCACAATAAATGTAAGTGGATGAATTTCTTCAATTAAATGGCAGAGTCAGATTGGATTTAAAAAACAGTATGTCAGCTACAAGAGAGAGATGTTTAAAAAGACATAGAAAATTTGGGGCGCCTGGGTGGCTCAGTCGTTAAGCGTCTGCCTTCGGCTCAGGTCATGATCCCAGGGTCCTGGGATCGAGCCCCGCATCGGGCTCCCTGCTCGGCCGGGAGCCTGCTTCTCCCTCTCCCACTCACCCTGCTTGTGTTCCCTCTCTAGCTGTCTCTCTCTCTCTCTGTCAAATAAATAAAATCTTAAAAAAAAAAAAAGACATAGAAAATTTGAAAATAAAAGGAAAAGATTCACCAGGCACATGGGAACCAAAAGAAAACTAGAGTACTAATCTTATCTGACTAGATAGGATTTTAGGGAAAAGAAAAAAGAAAAAATCAAGGTGTTACATACTGGTGAACAAGAACAACAATAGAACATAAAGATACAGCCATCACAAACACACAACTATATGTGTATATGTACATATAGAAAGTTTCACACCCAACAAACAGAACACACATTTTCTTCAAGTACACCTATTACATTTAAAAATAGACCATATAGGGGCACCTGGGTGGCTCAGATGGTTAAGCGTCTGCCTTTGGCTCAGGTCATAATCTCAGGGTCCTGGGAACGAGTCCCACATCGGGCTCCTTGCTTAGCGAGGAGCCTGCTTCTCCCTCTGCCTGCCACTCCCCCTGCTTGTACTCTCCCTCTCTCTCTCTCTCTGGCAAATAAATAAATAAATCTTTAAAAATAAATAAATAAATAAAAATAGACCATATAAAATAAGTCAATCAGAGAAAGATAAGTATCATATGATCTCATTGATATAAGGAATTTGAGAAACAAGACAGGATCATAGGGGAAGGGAGGGAAAAATGAAGCAAGATGAAACCAGAGAGGGAGACAAACCATAAGAGACTCTTAATCTTAGGAAACAAACTGAGGGTTGCTGGAGTGGAGGGTGGTGGGAGGAATGGGGTGGCTGGGTGATGGACACTGGGGAGGGTATGTACTATGGTGAGCACTGTGAATTGTGTAAGACTGATGAATCACAGACCTGTACCCCTGAAACAAATAATACATTATATGTTAGAAAAAATAAAATCAAAATTAAAAAATAAAAATAGACAGTATATTAGCCTTTAAAGGAAGGCCTCAAATTCAAAAGGATTAAATCATATAAATCATTTATTTGACCATAGTGCATAAA